TCTCTGTAAACCGCTTAGAGAGGGCTGAAAGCCCTATGAAGCGGTATATAAGTCTACTGCTATTAACCATTGTCGCTGATGGTCTTGAAGCAAGGTTCATCCCTGGTCCAGTCTTCTCCAATTTGATGCCCTCCACAAGTGTTGAGTGAGTGTCAGCTGGCTGGAATTCTGGGAAGTGAAGCATTTTATACATCTACAAGCTAGTAGATTGGGAAAGAACGCCCTAAGCTTTAACCATGTTTTGCTGAATAAATAACAATTAGATGGGTCTACTCCACACATCTCAGCTGTAAACCTTATTTTACAGGTTGCAATGGAGGTAAATAATACACCAAAAAACAAACAATTAATTAAAATGTAGCTTAGTGAGAATATGCAAACCCAATGTAATACAATAATTTATAATAATTAAAATGTTACCCCACATCCATTCCCCCCCCAAAAAATAAACAAAACCCTATGCAATTATGGAACCCGTAGATTTTATTATATTGCAAGGATGATTTCCAAGATATGAACCTGCTAATACCTCTTTCTCTCTCTCTCCCTCCCTCCCTCTCTCTCTCTCTCCTTTTGATTTTATGACTCACATTTTGTTTATGTCCAATCTGAAAAGCTTGCCTTTTATTCCTAGCGCTAAACGGTTGGCAGCATTGTCCCCGATGAGTCTCCTCATTAGCAGCTGGGGCTTCATCAGGGCTCTATTGCAGCTCCCCCATACATGTACACAAACCCCAGCGGCTACCACAGACACAATGGAAATTTCATTAATGTGAACGTCTTTATCAAGATTTGCAGATGAGCAACCTAACTGCAGCTGTCATCACTGGGGCCCACTTAAGTAATCTCTAGTGCTGCCTTGCTTTATCTTACTGAGCTGTCCCATTTCCTGACAATCTTCAACAGGAAATGAGTCAGTCTTTGACTAACACAATGCAATCTCATAATCATGCTCTGAACATAGCTTTTCATACATCTGATGCCACCAAAAAGCTTGGCTTCCCTGGACCATCCCCTATGGCTCATAATTAAGGGAGCATTTTTCAGGAGCCACTCTCAGATTGCTTAAGCTGTTGTGTATTTCTCTCAATTTATCCCTGTCTGTTTATCCACCCA